CGATACGGGCCGGTTTCCTCTGTAGTTTAAAGGGATGACCCCGCAGATGCTTGTACGCTGATTTCTTGATGAATGGTCTGCGGGCCGTGACCTACCGAACTACATTCACCCGTGCTGGATTTGGACGTGATGAGTGCCAAGCCACCTATTCCCATGACGCTGTGCACTCCGCGATTGACGAATTCATATGACCAAACCGAGCATCAGTACCGAATACGGTTTGGGTTGGTCGTTGCACTTGTTTTTAGACCCCAGGGCCCGTGAACCATAATGAAAGTAATTCGCGACTCACATGCTTGCCACACCACGTGTTCGCCAATTCGCCTCTTGGGATGCCTTCAACTTTCCCCGACGGTGTGCTTTGTCAGCAACTGCACCAGATCCTTTAGGAGAATCCAGGTGTTTCAAGCCGTGGCAATGGGTATTTGAGTTTCATGGATGATTCCTTATAGTTGCCAGCTTCTGCAAAAAGGCGCCCGACGGCCTCCAATGCATTTGACGCAAGAAATCTCTCGTGTCAATGCGATTGTTTTCGTTAGTGTCATTTGTGCATGCACCGGTTGACGAAGATTCGCGGGCCGTTTTCTCTGACTTCCCATCAGAAATATTGTGCGTCGGCAACCTCTTCGTTCAGTTCACAGCAGTGCTACTGAGTATGCCCATAAAACGTCCCTGGGCAAGCTGCCTCGCAGTTGCCGCTCTCCTGAACACTTTTGTCGCTAGTCCATCACGATCCTTGTGGCAGACGAGGACATCAAGGGCAGTTATTTGGTTGGCTTCTGCTTTCTGCATGTTGTCTTTCCCCTCTAGGTCCGAAAGTAGCTGTCGAGCCTTTCGTTGAGCTGGGGCACCTGATACCGTTCGATGACGACGAAGGTATCATCCACATACCACACCCAGAATTTTGATCTGAGGTGTTGAAAAACCTCCGATGCCTAGATTTTTGACTAGAAATGTTGGAAGACCTGCGGCTCAAGCCGTTTTAGGACTGCTTTGACTATGAGCCCCGCAATTGGCGAAGAGAGAATAGAAAACTCCAGGCGCTGTAAGATTTGGGCATGTTCGAGGCAATTCTCCACCTTATCGTATTTTCTTTGTAGGAGTATTTCGACGGTCTCGACTGCCAGATCCTGTGGAGGGATAGAAGTGAAATGAGACGTGACATGAAAGGAAACCATGATATCACTTGATGGGAGACATACCTATTTAATTTTCTTCAAGGATTACGCTGATGCCCGATTCAGCGGTCAGTAATTTGAGACACATAAAATGTCACTTTGTCAGTCCGTACGATGGAGTAATCTTCGATGATAGGTGGGTCAGTGAGCAGTGCCCTTCTTGTGTAATTTAGGGAGGCCATAGGAGAGGGCCACGGCCGTTTCTTGGTGTCTTATCCTGCGTCATTCAGATTGCGTTATTGGACCAATGATCTCTAATTACAACAGAGTAATATTAACTTTGCGTGTTCACCTTTTGGGGGGAATGGTTTCATATGGGACACAAACTCGCGACCATCTTTTAAATTTCAAAATGTAATTTGTGGGGTCCTCATCGTCTACTGAAATCGCTATTAAATGCGGTGTCATGCAGCTTACTATACTTGGTCCTCTTTCTTTTTTAAATTTATATGAATCATGTTTAATCAACAGTTAAATAGTCTCTTTTTTTCAAATTTATGTCGATGATCTCAAATGTGTGTATTTTTTCTCTAACTCTACGGTCCAAAATGCTAAGAACAAATCCATATGGACTTACATCCTTTTTCGGCGTTGAACTCAACTTTGCTAATGCAATTCTTACCTTCGGAATATGGTCACATGTGTTTTGGGTCTGGAAGACTATCGCACAAAGCTGCTTAATGATTGAATGGTCCATTATCATGGACGTGGGTTTCAGCTACGCCAACAAACCCTCTCCAATAAAATGACGGCAAAATCTGCCTTGATTTGTAGCTTTATTTTTATATTTTATACCATCCTAAACTCAGTTCGAGTTTCAACCTCTATTATACAGGGTGTCCCAAATAAATGTAAACACATTTTGAATAATTGTAGACTTGGTGTTTATTATCATTTCGGAAATGTAAAAATATTAACAAGTATCCTTTAATTGTTTTTTCAGTGCATGTTCTCAAACGGACGTCCATTTTGATCCAGAAATTGTTCTAAATACCACTCGCCATACTGTACTTTTCGGTATAGATAATCGACATTAAGAACATGGACTAATCTTGCGATATAACTTTTCCGATGGCAACGTTCCATAATGCGAGAACTTGCAGTGAAAAAACAATAAAAATATACTCGTAAATATTTTATAATTTTTGATATAGTAAAATTATAACAAACACCAAGTTTACAATACGTTAAAATGTGTATAAATTTTTTGGGACACCCTGTATATTCCAACATTCCAACATCGCATTATGTTAAGGCAACTGAAAAAATAATCGTTAATTTTAAATTCCGCAAGTTGACTTCGTCTGCACTATTTAAACCTTTCAAGGTTAAAAATCCTGACAACCCCTCAACAATGATATTTAACTGCTTTCTAAAATATTGTCTTGTGTTTCTACCGCTATTTGTCGTTGAAATATCCAGTATCGCCCAAATAACTTCATTTTCTATACAATCGGATTATGCAGTTGAAAGGGATTTCCTCAAATTTGTGGCAGACCGTACTGTGACAATATATTTATTTGGAAACAATTTGGAAAGCATTGTCGCTCTCTCTTTCTCCCGGAAACCTGACAGATACGGTAGAGACTGTGATGAAGACCGTTTTGGTGAAGCCTTTAAGGCCACAAATTCGGGCACAGGAGTAATGATGTCAGTGTTTTCCCTCCCATCTGAGAATTGTCCACACCGTCTGTACATTTGCTCCAAGCAAGTAAACGATAACGAATCATTGTCGTGGATCCACGAGGAACCTATTTCTCCAAGATTCCTGTCTTGTGAACAAGAGGGTTTCAATATTTCTGGGCCTTTGGCCTGGGTTCTGTATGGCTTTATGCTAACACTGTCTGCTCTGTTTAGCGGGCTGAATCTCGGAATAATGACTCTCGATGTTCTAACACTAAAGATTATGCAGCAAGCCGGTTCTCCGAGCGAGAAAAAAATGGCAGCTACTGTTTTCCCAGTTCGTGTCAGGGGCAACTTAATACTATGTAGTCTTACCATGGCAAACGTTGTTGTAAATGTCATCATATCAATGCTCTCTGACAGATTGATTGGTGGCACCGGCTGGGCGATAATTTATGCCTCTATTGGAATTCTTATTTTTGGTGAAATAATTCCGCAAGCAATATGCAACCGCTACAGTCTCCTAGTCGCTTCAAAGACAATCTCATTCACAAAATGTGTTTTGTACTTAACTCTCCCTATTGCATATCCCCTAAGTCTTGTTCTTGATTCGATCTTTGGCGAAGATATGGGGAAAACTTTTACAAGAGCAAAGCTCGCTGAACTTATTAAACAACATGTAGGTTTTGCTTTTGCCTGTCCTTTATTATTTTCAGGGTAATCTTGGATTTGTTGACAAGGACGAGGTCAATATAATCACAGGAGCTCTTTCGATGAACCACAGAACGGTAAAGGAAATAATGACACCGATAGATGACGTATATATGCTGTCCTCTAAAGCTATTCTTGACTTTGAAACAACAAATGACATAATTGCCCATGGATTCACACGTATTCCCATTTTTGAAAACGACAGAAGAAGAGTGAAATCAGTGCTCAACGTGAAAGATCTAGCTTTCGTTGATCCAAATGATAAAATACCTGTGTCCACAATATGCAACTTTTACAAAAGAACATTTATTACTGTTCCTGCATCAAAAACTTTGACTGACATTTTTGAGGAGTTTCGTAAGGGTATGCATCTTTTGCTAGTTTACTTGAAACTGCCGACGATTTCAGCAAACGCATATAGAGTCGTATTTCTTTAGAAATTTAGGAATTTGTGCTATGTCTTATAAGGTCCTTCCGTTTTAACGGGCGGCACAGTTTAAGGAGAAATTAAACTGAATTATTTGCTTCTAATAAAAACTTTGCTCAAGTATACGCTAAACTTAAATGGTCGAGATGTTAGGTATTTGCCGCAGATTCCAATATCGAGCATGATATAAATAACTGGCAGTCATAATTGGGAACGTTTACACAAATTTAGAGAAACGTGAAGCGAGCCAAAATATTTTTAACAAGACGCCCGATGTTTCAAAAGTGTCCAAACGCATTAACGGAGGGAGGAAATGCCAGTCGTGCGTAAGAGATCAATTCTTGAAAATTCAGTCTGACAGCCTCATAATATTCTATTTAAAAATGAAATAGTGTTTTAACGTTTGACAGCCCACCTAGCCCTTATCGCCTTCCAAAGTTTTGGGCATAAGTTATATGAACAAGACCATGATACAGTCTGAAGTGTCATTCACCTTTAATTTTTCGTGCACGGGATTTATAATAGTATAGGTTGCACTTTCACTATCATGGATGCGCTTGTTTCTTAGAAAACTCTATGGAAAATCATACGAGTAAAATACTTTCCGTTATTTGTTTTAAGACAGGGCTTTCCATTGAAATTACAGCCTTTGATCCTGCCAATTGAACAGGAGCGGACGGAGTCAAAAGCTGACATTCCTTTCTTTCATTAAAAGAATAACGGAAAATAGCTGACTTATATGATTTTCCTTACGGATCCCAGTCTACCAGTTTTTTGGGTATGAGTCTTGGAGACCGCTTCTTACGACACTATAAGTTAAGAGATGGTAATTCCAGCCTTATTTTTCGTTGCTCTTGATGCTTTTGGTTTATCGATAGCTCATCACTGCATGAAGAACAGAGAAAACTTTGGATTCAAGCTACAAGGTATTAGAATCGATCATGTTGGCTTATGCAATAAAGACGTGAACGCCAGTGTTAAGCCTCAGATTACCACGATCTGTTTTCTCTAGTGAATTCTAGATATCGCGTCCGCAAACTTTCAACCCCATCGTCAGAGTAATCGCATGAGATAAATTTCAGACTTTTTTACTCAATGTTGTCAGGGTTAATAGGTTTTGGCAGTTCAGCATCTCGAAACAATGCCATATTGTGGAATTATGTTATTTGCGTTAATCTCATTGCGATTGTCGAAGCTACCTTCTTAAGATATATCATTGATTACGCCTACTCTGCCAAAATTTTGATTGAAAATGACGAGATTAATTGTTCCTTTTCGTTAGGTTTATTGCAGGTGGCTAGATTTACAATGAGATTACGCGGTTGAGATACTTAAAATAGTAACTCCATATTTTGTTTTTTTGCGATTTATTTTACGCTGCATCCTATGATACCACTTCTTGTTTGTATACTTGGGCATATAATTCGTAATTTATTTAAAACGTATTATGATCTTAGTTTCAGTTAGAATTTTGGGCTAACGTTTTTATTGTTAGTCTATAATTTATTTTTATTATCAGCTGTGACAGTTCAGGGAAAAGAAGCAGGCCTTATAAGCACTAGATGTCTGCAGACTGGAGAAATGCTTATCAACTTAGCATTTAGATGGATGATACCATCGACGGCAACGACCCCCATTTGTTCTCACTAGAAGAGTCGAACAGCGGTGACTTGTGCTGCATCAACCGCACTATCGCCTGATTTAAACATTATGTTTCAATGGCGAATCAACTCCAGGGCGACCGGATATGAGCTCTGTGACTGATATACCTGAGCAGACCATCTACGCGTGGTGCGATCTGGTCCTTGCTCCAAGTATGTTAGGTTGCAATTATCTAGGCTTTTGGGATCTTCTATAACTGACAATGCTATAAAGACATAAGGACATAAAGTCATTTGGGCTGGCTTTCAGTCTTGAAGGGGAACTAGGTATTCCTTCATTCGGAAGTCATCCAAACCACAGGTGACAGAGCCAAGCCAAAATTATTTATTGTAGTATGTCGATTTGTAGTGATAATGGATTCCCTGTCTCAGCCTCACTCGATATTCCACCTCTCGCACATTAACCGACTGCCGAAGCATGCTAGATAGTCGGTTATATGATCAGCCACATTGGCTGACAAAGCTAATCATCACTTCTACGCAACACACACGCTACACACCAAAGGTCATGGTGCCCATAGTTTTGAGTTACAATCAGGTGTGCGAAAATTCTCACTCTAACACAACTGGCAAATTACAGGCTGTGTAGTGGAGGTGTATCGAGTATGTACACATTTTAAGACAGGTTCATTTAGGTGTAGGCTATGTTTTTGAGTGTTAAGAACGAATTGTTGTGCAACTTAACCAAACACTTTGTGGAATCTTCTAATGAATGAACGTCCTGGAGCAATGCTGGAAGGTAAAGCCTTGATGACGTTGTGTTGAAGTTCTTGATACTGATTCATCGAACTGGATTCTTGAGTGAGCGGTTAGGTCCATGCGTGATTGGAAAGCGCAGTTACAATAGAGACTGCCTGAAACTGAACCCACATTGCTCATGTTTTGATTACACTATTGACATGATGGCGGTAGTTGAGAGCTTGTATCGCGACCTCGTCGTGCGACCTTGTCGTGCGACCTTCCATTTCCCCTTTGGCCGCCATCATTTGGTTGGCCTCCTTAAGATAATGTACCAGGCCGCCGATCTTGTACAAGGCCTTCCCAAGTCCAGAGTTCGGTCTACAAGGGTTAGAAGGGTGTTAAGGCTATCACTGAAATTGTTCGCCGTGTGTGTGAGCGCGGTAGTGAAGTCACTGTAGAATAGTAGATTGAGCAGGCACTCAAAATGCCTCTTCATTACGTGGTCTCCCTAATGTAAGCATACATATCTCGGGATGACATGAATACAGAGGATGCCGTTTTAGTTGCGAAGTTCAGTGGCAGGGATACTTTTTTACCATCTCATTTGCAATATTATATGGTAGCAGATGATTTAGAAAGGATTGAATTTTCTTTCATGGCCCTCTTGCGCAGCCCGGGTCTTCTCCTTACAAAATAGTGTTTTAAAAAACAACGACCTATACATTCTCTGTCCTGTGTTTAAGAGGATGCCGCGACACCCTAGCGGAAGTGCTTTTGACAGTTAAAGGTTTCACTGGCCTTGCAGATCCGAGTGGAATCTTTATTACGGATCCTGATGTTCTTAGAAGCTTAGAAGCTGTTCAGGAATTTGTCCACTGGTGTGGGATGCGTTTCATAGACATTTTCGGGAGGATCATTGTAATCATTACTCAGCGTCAATTGGTACAGGAGCACTGTCTTTTCCGTACGAATTATCACTCCAAGGTTTAGCCGACCGGAGAAAACTGGATTCACGTACCGTCTCTATATTTGGTGTACAGTCCTTCACGAAAAGGAACTCGTGGACAGTGGCCTGGGGGACTCTCGTAGACAAATTTTTGTTGTGACGTTACAGTGCATTAACGAATTAAAACTTCGCAGTTTATTTTCTGGCCAAGTCGGCAAGAAGTCCGAACGAAAGGCTCGCATTTTCTAACTTAGGAGAATTTAGATTGTAGTTAACAGTCTTTTGGAAGGCTTGCATCTCAGTTAAATTTATCTGCTTGAACAGCTTTCGTCTCCGAACAAGAATAAAAAAACGCCGAGATAAATTAGTCAACGACTTTTTAGACGTATTTAATACCGCCTTCAAGCAGCTGTGTAACTTCTTTTTTCAGAAGACGTCAAGAGATCATTCTGAAAATCCAGCCAGTTTGGTTTGCACCAGTTTTTTTGCTTGAAAATATCCGCTTTGTCATACTAGAGACTAACATACGTAAAAATGCTGCTCGAACTTTAATCGTACGCCAGTTTTTACTTTATCGGTCTACCATGTGTGTTTGGGTACATATTAGTTAGGTGCGGGCCAGGGGTCTGAACGGCTGACGAACCTAGTGAATAAGTTATAGATGGCCTTCTTAGTATTCTGCCCTGTCCCTGTTTGCCTACATTGAAGATTTCTTACTTGGTCATTTTAGTCTATCGTAATTTACCGCCTGATCATAATTAATTCTACTAGAATACGAAACTAGGTAGGACGCTTCGGACGTATTTTACCACTTGCATTTATGCAGTCTTCTATATTAGATATGCGCATCTACGTCTAGTGAACCATGATACTTTATCGGCTCCATTTTTTCCACTTAGGCAATACGCATCTTGCTCTAGTCTACGCAGATTCGCCGAAATCGGATACAAATGCCAATTTCAATCGCTTGATTGGGATCGTCACTATGGAGGACGTCATTGAAGAAATTATGCAAGAAGAAATCATGGACGAGACTGATATTTTTAGTGAGTTTACGTTTTTTAAAACTGAAGCGCAAAAAAGTGACTTTTTATCTACACTATGGTAAGTGCGCTATCTTGTAAAATGTTGGCAAAAAGTCTGAAATTTGCTTTCAGTTAGAAATGATTAGTTAAGTAGGGATATAATATTAATTACAGTACAGCTTAACCCTGAGCAATTCCAGTCACACCAGGATGACGGACTTGATTAATTTTGTCCGGCTGTCCTGAAAACTCTTCGATGTAAAAACTGACTACCTGAGTATTATGCATTTTTCCATCTATTTTTAGTACCCTTAAAAATTTGGATATATTTTTTAGAAGACACGCATAAAAATAGTCTTTCTTGTACTCATTTGGTAGCAGATAACGTTTTCTTCAGGTATTGTACTTCTAGAAGAGGTATCATTTTGTTTTGAAAAGTTTCCTATTAAGACCGTGAGATGCCCATTCAGAAATAATCATATCTTTAAATTACTAATATTGCTTGTAGAGCATGCTATTTGGTCCATATTTAGCTCAAAAGTGCACGTGTTCTATATTATTTTACCTTAATAGCGTATATAAATGCAAGATTTTCCATACACGGAAAATACAGAGCCGGTAGTTTGGGAACCCCGAATGCAGATGCAACAGCAGGCTGGGTTCGAAAGTATTCAAGAACTAAGTGAGGTTCTTAAAACTAAGTATACCCTTCCTTAAAGTATAACATTTGAAGAAGACATAATTTGCTAAATATATTTGAATTTAT